GTACCATTTTCTACTTGATATTTTGAACTTATTTCCCCACCTATCTTAACTCTAATGTTTCTTCCAGTTTAAAAATGTTTAATCCACCTAGATATCTTACCCTTCAAACCTATTTGTTTTATTTTAATCAACAGTCCTTCTTTCCATAACATGTCATAAGCTTTCTCCACATCTAAGAAGACTCCTATTACACTGTCTTTATTAACCTGGGCCCTTCTAATTTCATGTTCCAGACATATTGCTGGATCTATTGTACTTCTACCTTTCCTGAATCCAAATTGATAAGACTTAAGCTTCTCCTTAGACTCTAAAAAAATAAATTAATCTATTATTTATCATTTTTTCCATGATTTTACCTAAACATGATGTTAAAGCTATTGGTCTATAACTTTCAGCTGAATTAGGATCTTTACCAGGTTTACAAATAGGAATAATAATGGCTTCTTTCCATTCATCAGGTAAAATCCCTTCCTCCCACACCTTATTATACAATTCTAATAATATTTCTTTACTCATATCACTAAAATTATCTAACATACTATAACTGATTTGATCATTTCCAGGAGTTGATTTACTAGAATTTCTCAAAGCTCTATTTAATTCTATCATTGAAAACTTCWTATTAATAATATCATCATTTTCTTCATCATTATGAAGCAATTGTCTATTTTGCTGTAAAGTAATTTCACGTCCGTTTTTTTCTTTATTACTTAAATTCTCTGTACTATGTATTTTTGCAAATGCTTTAGCTAACACCTCAGCTTTATTTTTATTGTCTACAATAATTTTCCCATTATCTTTGTATAACTGGGAAAAAATATTCTTTTGAATTTCCAGCCATTTTTTAATAGTATTCCAAACCCTGTTTAATGCAGTGTTTTTCTCCAAAGATTCACAATATTTCCTCCAATAATCCCTTTTAGCATTTCTTATAGTTTTCCTGACTTCTGCCTGTTACCTTTTATAGGTTATTACGTTTTGGAAGCAAATTATTTTCTCAAGAGTCTTAAAAGCCTTATTTCTCTGTTTAATTGCTATTGTACATTCTGGTGTCCACCAAGGAACTATCTTCTTATTTTTTATATCCTTCTAGGAACGAATGTTTTGGCTGCATTAATAATACATTTGCTAATTTCTGAATTTAATTCATTTACTGGTTTATTTATATC